GGGTGCTCAATAAATGTTTGTCAAATGAGTGATAGCATGGTTAGTTCGATGAGAATTGATGGTGCCCTTTCTGATCTGTCATCTATCATCCATGGAGTGCAGCAGGACTGGGAGGCTTTACACAGTACCACTTGTGAATATGAGGTGAAGAGGCGGGGTTACAATGAATAAGAACCCCTCCTCCTTGAATATGCTCTGTGGGTCAGGCTGTCTCAGGCTTTTTAAATGTATTAATGCACTTAACCCTTCGATCAGTCTGCTAAGACAGGTTCTGTTTATTAACCCCATTGGGAAGCCCAGGGAACTTCAGTAAGTTGCCCAAAGTCACACATGACAGCTGAGATTCATGAAATTCATCCCACATTAGAGAGCCGTCACCTATCATGCTTTTTAGACAGGTTCCTGGAAAGAATTAAGCGTTAATGCCCTGAGGCATCCCTCTTGTTCAGTGACTTCACTTCTCCCTGTATGTCTAGATGGGACTAGTTATGTTCCGTCCTTGGGGAAAAGGAGAAAATAGTCATTCAGATAGGTTGGTGTTTTGTGCTTCACTCAAGAGAGGTGGAGTTAGACACGGGCAAGTAATTGATTTTAGATGATCCTTCTGGTTCTTTTCTTTTCTTTTTTTTTTTTTTTTGAGATTTATTTATGTATACAAAACTGGGGTACAGGCCAGAAGGGCAGGGGCGGTGAGAGGATTCACCAGAGATAGAGTGGGGAGCAGGACAGGCTGACTGACCAGTACACTGCTGGGGGAGCAGTGGGCAGGTCAGGAGAGGTCTGCCGCGCCATGTGGTCACCTCCCTGGCTTGGGATCGAACTTGTGCTGCAGTGGCTGCAGATAGCTTCACAGTGCTGAGACTTTACCCTTGCACCACTAGGGAGGCCCAAGACTTAGACTTTTAAACTAGTCAAATCTAGTCTGTTGTTTTTTTACTTGCTCTTGGCAAGTGGGGAAGAGAGATGACTGATGTTGCTCTTGTTGCACCTCCAGTGTAGGGAGATGACATTCAGACAGATCTCTTCACAGTGTCACAGAGGTGAGCATGGTTCTTTCTGGCAACCCGTCCAATGTAGGCAGACGACATTCAGACAGATCTCTTCACAGTGTCACAGAGGTGAGCATGGTTCTTTCTGGCAACCCTAGCTAATGCCAAGGAAGCCCCCTTTTTGCCCAGGTTGTTCTGAGAACTAACGGAGTAACTGTGACCAGCGGTTCTTGGTTGTAAAGAAGTAGAAATCCAATTAGGAAGACTAATAGCAAGTCACATACATGTGAGGAAAGACTTGCTGAAAAGTAAAATCTCGTGTAGGTGAACAACACACTGGAGATTAGATTTAACCCAAGAGGAAACTTCTTAATCATTTAAAGATAAGAACATTTTATTTTATAAGTAGAGCTAAGACTTCAAATGTATTCAGGATATCTCTATCTTGTCTCCTCAGGTGTACCTTCACTTACCTAAAAATTGTTTATCTGTCTGTCCCTGAAATTTGCTACTTCTCCTATATTCTCACTTCCCTTTAGTAGAACTATGTGGTGCTTGAGCTATGTGGAACTACGTGGTCAGAAATTTGGGGTCCCTGTTGAGTCTTCATTCCCTACCAGCATCCTGGTGCTAGTTCTGTGACAGTCGCCTTCTCCCTCCTGTCGCCTGGTTCAGGCACTTGTGGGCCTCCTTTCTGCCCTTCTTGGTTCTGCTCTTCCCTCCAACCCATTCTGCATCCTGTTTGTCCAGTCACTCTGCCCGCGTCTCTAGAGATCCGCCACCTCACAGCCAGTTCCTACCACATCGTCTTGCGTTCAGATTTCTCTTTCAGCTCTATTGGATGACTTAATTTCTCTCAGAGATGGCCGTTCTAGACTTATTCCCCTTTCTTCTTCATAGCTCTCACTTGTTCTTTAAAACCTTTTCTGACATGAGTCCTTGCTGTGTCTCCTGGGACCATACTTCCATCATTTTTACATCCTCAGTGTTTGTCTAACATTGTTTGGTGGGACTGAGGATGTGCTCTTAAACTGCTTGTTGAAAGAATAAGAGAGGCAGCAAGGGCCTTTTTTAAAGATTTATTTATTTTTGCATACAAGAGCTGGGGTGTAGGCTGGAGAAGCAGGGAGGGTGAGAGGATTCAGCAGAGAGTGGGGAGCAGAACAGGCCGAGTGACTGAAACACACTGCTGAGGGGAGCGACAGGGCAGGGCAGGACAGGAGAGGTCAGCTGTGCCATGTGGGTCAGCTCCGTGGCCAGGGATTTAACCCTTTGTGCCACCAGGGAGGCTCTGGAAACAGAGTTTTTAAGTCACATTGAGCTATGAAAGAGCAATATGTGACTTCTCTAAAAATGGGTTTTCTTTTGGGGTTGGACAAGAGTGTTCAGACACCAGTGACTTACTAGAAAAGGTGGCTGGGATTGCTGGTAGAGCGGAGACAAAGGAAGCAGAAAGGAAGTGGAAGCCTCAGAGAGGAAAAGCCCCCCAGGACCCAGGGGCTGCCCACCTTATGTCTCCAGGGTCCTTTCAGCCTGGCTGCCGCAATCTCTGACTCAGTTTTCTTGTTTATGCCCAAGGGGGATGGGGCTGCAGTCGACCATTGCTGAGACCACTTCCAACACTGACTCCCCAAGATGCTCAGAGTCAAAGTTAAAAATCTAAGTAGGTCAACTGAATCTGTGTGAGGATTTTTCCCCTTTTATCTCTGGCTCCATGGGAACAAAGACATTGTCTTTGTGCATTCCACAAAGACAGTTTTGTATTTTAAAAACAAAGAAGTAGAAGGCAACACAGGAAAACTGCATCAATGCAATATTATGTTTGCGAATCCAAACTCCCAAGTCTGGCAGTTCACTCACCCTGCCCCTGCAGCTTTCCTGGAGAAGCCTGAACCTCGGCTGGCTGCTGGGGTTGTCCCGCCAAAGCCTGCTGGCCCTGACTTATGTCCTACTGGGAATCATTACTTTGATCTTGTCAGCCCTTGGGCGTTTAACTTCTTCCAGTTAATATCTGGTTTTTCGTGTTACATTATCTTGTAGCAAGGTAGTCATTTATAATTTATGTACTATATACTGGCTTAAAATAGAGACTAGAGGATAATCAACATCCCAAAGCGGCTAGCTTTTCAAAATAACCTTTCTTCAGTGAAATCCGCCTATAGGAATTAAAACCTGCTATGAATTGAAAAGCCTTTCTCCTATTGTCAGATTGGGAAGTGGGTGTGCCCATAGGCATTGTTAAGCCTTACAGAGGGGATGGAAGTCATCTTTTTTTAAGACAAAACTTGTCATTTTATGTTGCTCAAAATAATCTCTAAAGACTTCAGCCTTTGTAGTGTTCCAGGGGCACCACTAAAATCACAGATGGGGGACCCGAGCTGCACTAGAAGGACTGCTAGGAGAAAGAACCCTGGCGAAGGACAAGAACGGAAACAAATCTCAACCACTTGTCTGCCGTGGTTTCGGGTGCCACTTTGCTCTTTGACTTTGACCGCAAACTCCGAGGAGGGTTGGGCTTTCTCCTGTTGAGGACCTCGTAGAGAACCACTGTTTATTCATTCACATCTATTAAAAATAGCCTACTTGAGAAGTCCCCTGTAGAAACAGCAAACGCCAATCAGATATTAGAGGTCCAACTTATTTTCTCCTTCTGGCTCTTCTAACAAGTCTCTAGTCCCGTCCCCCCTACCCCGCCCCCCATTCCTTTTCATTATGCATCTTTGTGTGCCAGGATACTGGGTGGAGATTTCTGATAAGGGCAAAGAAGGACAGATGCTTCTGCCGTTGAGCGATTTTGCTCCTTCAGTGTCTGGCGACCTTGTAATCAAATCTCAAGATTATCCTTACTGTGACCACCATCTTTGTGATGCGTCTCCTGTGCTCACCACTAGACCCAGTTATGTATAGAACTATGTCCAGTGCGCATTTGAATGTCCATCTGATACTTGGGAGCTCTCTGGGGTGGGGTCAGCTAGCTTCCGAAGGGTGGTATGGGAACAGCAAGGGTGACTTAGCCTGAAAGCCACAAGGTGGCAACATTTACTAAGCTGCTGGGCATTTCCTTTTCCTGGTAAGATGTTGAAACTTGCTTTTCCAACTGCAAGATTGACTAGCTGAGAAAAAGCTTTAGCAGCCATTGCTGTAGGTCCTTTTGAAAGTGAGGCTATGGAATAAACGTACTACCTTATATTGGTGTCAGTTTGCCCCCTGGCCTCAGAGACTGAGTTTTGAAATTGCTCCATCTGACTGTGGATGAGGTTCTTCCTCTTTGGCCTCAGTCATGCATCTGTGACAGGGGAGATCTGTGGTTGGGCTGACTATTCCCTAGTGGTTCTTTTTCTTTATGATTTATGACTTTGATTACAACTTCCTCTCACACACACACATACACATACCTATGTATTTAAATTGCAGTCTAATTGACATTTAAGATATACACCATAATGCAATATTTGTGTATGCTGTGAAATGATCACACTAAGTCTGGTTAACATCCGTCCCCTCATGTAATTACAATTTTTTTCCTTATGGTGAGGATCCACCCCTATGTTGCTATTTAAAACAAAATAGTAAAGCTGTCTTAACTAGCCTTTTGTCAGAGTCAGGATTTAAAAAGAAAAAAAAAAAATCTCAAGGAAATTAGTGTCCTTAGAAGCTGGCCATCTCCCTGGGTTAACTCAAGAGGCTAGACTCTACTAAATGAGGATGCTTATTTACCAGCGCTCCTAAATTAGCAGCTTTGGGGATATTAAGATCTGTAAGGAACTGTCCAAGGGAGGTATTGTGTATGCTTTGCAGTGATTAAGCCATTAAGCTCTAATTGGTATTTTCCCACTCATGGTTTTGTGTAGGAAGCCTCAAAATTATTTAGTTATTCTGTGCTCATCAGCCATCTTAGCGTCATCCCTACATTTTGGAATCAGAGTAGGGTGTGCAGAGGAAAAGCTTTTGTGTGAGGGGGTTATGACTTTTGCTCACAACGTCCTTCCCTGTTGGTTTGTTGTATTGCAGATGAAGTGGAAAGGGAAGGACCTATTTGATTTGGTGTGCCGGACTCTGGGGCTTCGGGAAACCTGGTTCTTTGGACTGCAGTACACAATCAAGGACACCGTGGCCTGGCTCAAAATGGACAAGAAGGTTGGGCTGGAACTTGATGAAATTAGTGGGGCTGGCATGTGCTCTCTGGCTTTTCCCTAGCACGTGCTTAGCTCATTTGCTCACCACAGGGTATTACAAATACTTGATAGAGAAAGCAGCAAGCCCTGAATTCAGGCCTGTGGGAAGCAGATCCTGGCACTGCCGTAGGCTTGATACTCTTCACCGGCTCTCCCAGGCAAGCGGACCCTGCGGGGACTGGCCACCCTGGCTGCTTGCTTTGGGCTTTATGCACTTCAGTGTTTTGAGCTACTACTCAGACTTTATAAGTCAAAAATTACCTTTATGTTTTCTTTCTTTCTTTTTTTTTTAAAGCAATTTAAAAAATTTGAAAGATTTTCTTGGAACTCATGCGTTTTAGGGAATTTTGAAAGTCTTTTTAGAATCACTGTGACCCAACTCATTTTAATCATTATTGTAACCTAAGGAATAAAGAGTGCCCTGATCTCTCTGATAAAGAGGCTGCAAACTAAAGTATTCAAATTATCTGAACATTTGTCCTCGGTAATCTGAAATTCACATTAGAAACTCTGCTGGCTCTAGGTTTCATAGGGAACTTCCCAGTAATCAGGAAAGTGCTGCTGTGTGAGAGACTGTTCTACAGCAGTCTGTGTGGAATCTTCTGGACCCTGCCAGCTGGAATTTGGGCAGGAGCATGGAGAATTATCTATCAAAGACAGCAGAACCTTCTCTTACCTTTTTGTGGTGCTCAGCAAAGTAAATTTTAAATCATACCTGAATGTTGGCCAAGCGGATATTAGATTGGGGGCATTAGGAACTGTGGAATCTGCTGCTCAAAGGAAATAAATTATGACACATGTTAATGGAGCCTTGTAGCCTGTCACATGGCATGTTTATGTCCTGGAATGAAACTCATTCTGGAGAGCAGATGGTTCAAGCTTTTCAGTGGGTGGATGAGAGTGTTAGAAGATTAAAGGCAGCATGGTTTACTGACTGTGCTCAAGTATTTTGTGGGGCGTCTCCAGAGGTTCCGGGAAACAAAGGGTTGCCACAATGGACACGTTTCATTTCTGTTGTTCAATTAATGTTTAGGCGATTTCACAATGACTGAGCCCATCATCTCTCAGCTCCTTTTCAATATGGACCTAATGTTGGAGGTAGGCGGCAAGAGAAAAGGGATAAAGGAAGATTCCATTCCTTGAGAAAATGGAATAAAACCTCCAGCCTAATACAAAGGATTGCACGCAAGGTCTTTGAGTTAGAAATCTTCAGGTTTTAACTATCTTTGTGACCTTGAGAATTGATGTCTTCAGAGTCATCTCTCCACCCACCCCTTGGGGACATTGATTCCTGTAGTTCAGAAATGCCAGGTGAAGTACAATTACTTGTTCTAAGTGCGAATGCTTCAAGCTATAGAGTCACAACCTTTGAAAAACGCAATAAATCCAGAAGGAAGCAATGCACGCTCCTGACAGGGAAAGAAGAGGTGCCCAGGTAGCTTCTTTGTCTTTTGCTTTGCAATTCTGTAGGTGCTGGATCATGACGTGTCCAAGGAAGAGCCAGTCACCTTTCATTTCCTCGCCAAATTTTATCCTGAGAACGCTGAGGAGGAGCTGGTTCAAGAGATCACACAACATTTATTCTTCTTGCAGGTAAACCAGTCCATGCTGTGGCCCCCACCCCGATTCTCTGAAAACTCACTCAGGCGTGGTTACAGAGGCAGCTTGGAGGGACCTTGGAATAGACCACAAATGCCTTCTCATTGTGAAAACACTTCATCTCTGGAAAGTCAGTCACTTTGGTTTCATGATGGGAAAGCGTCTTAGAATGGAGTCATACCCGAGTGATGAGGCCGTGTTTCCTATGAAATTGCCCAAGCGTGGTGGTGAGAGAATAGGTAGGAGTAGCTGCCGTACTTGAAACCTCTTGGAAGATGGATCCTGCTTTCTTCTCACTGGCTTGAGCACTCTAGAGTTGCAAAGGAAGTCTAAAAAGAATGTTACAGAGAGCAGTTCTTTCAAAAGTTCAAAATCTGTTCTCATTAAGCCTGGACTTTAGGATGCCAGCGACACTTGGTTTGCCCTGTGCTCCGGAACTTCAAACATCGTGTGCCACACTGTTCTTTGTCTATTCTCTTATTTCTCCTTTACTCCCTTACTAGATTGTAAGCCCCTTCAAGGCAAGACTCACTGCGTATACCGTGGGAATTCCATAGTAATTGCTCAACTGAATTGAAGAAATTACGAGATCCATGATTATAGGTTCAGTTGATGGTTTGGGGGCCCAGGAAAGGGAGGTTCTAGGATGAAAATGAAAACCCAAGTGATTTTGCCCTCCCCTGTTTTCATGGTTAGTTATAGTGACTGGCACTGGAGCTGCATGTGCGCCCGAAGGTGCCCACCGTCCGTGATCACAGCAGGGGTGTTAATGCCATGCTTTCCCACACGTGGACGGGCAGGCTGTCACGTAGCCCTGCTGTAATTGGCCCGAGCCTCAGACTACTGTGTATAAGTTAAATGTAATACCCACCGCTCCTGCTCCACATAATTTCTTGCACAAAAGGGAAACCCTTGCAGGTTTTCTCTCGTGCGTCTTTGTCGTTTCCTTTGAAAAGAAACCAAGACATTAGAAAGCCAGACTGCTTGGAATGGACACACACGCTGACCTCCCAGACGCTGACTGCCCAGCGTTTCTTGTCAGTGCTGGAAGCAGTGTCCAGCTTCTCCTGTGACTTTGGCCTGATCTCCCTCATATTGAAATGCTGAAGTCCTTCATGACTGAACAAGGCAAACTTGACTACTTTTGTGACTCTGGTATCTGTGGATGTCTGGGAAGAGAGAGGTGGCTTTCCTGTGTGTTTATTTCAGGGATCCCCTCTTGCAGCTCCCTTTCCTGCATAAAACCTCACATGCTGTACCATTCAAGAAATTAAGTGCAATGAGATATGTTGATTCAACATTATGGCTTAAGAATTATATTTCCTGGACCTCACACGTACTTAAAAGTTGAATCAATCAAAGTTTATTGCTTCCTTTTTTCTCTAAGCGGGCATATTGAAAGTGATTTCTTTTTCTGCAGTCATAACTCAGTGGCCTTGCTGACTTTTGTCTTGTGTTAAGACTTAAAAGTCGACTCCATTTCCTCTAGTGCTGCGTGGGCTCAGCAGGGGCTGAGCCTGTAATCACCACCAGAGCTGCTCCTGACACTTGTCTGGTTCACAGCTCTCCTCTGTCACAGCCGAGATGTCAGTCTGCTTTAACCATGAGGATTGTTTTTCCTCTTCAGCATTTGATCACGAACAAGGGAGAAGAGGGGTTTCTATGGGTAGCCATCTTATCGGTAACTTCTCAGTGACTGAACCCTCAGCCTGTCTCCAGCAGGATAAAAAAAATTGTGCGCTTTGTCAGAAAATCATTAACGGGTTTGGCAGCCCTCATTAGAACACCCTGCAGCCATCTGCTGTGCCCAGCTGACACGGCTCACTTCCATGCACACGACATCATGTTCCTTGTTGCCCTTTCAGGTAAAGAAGCAGATTCTAGATGAAAAGATCTACTGCCCTCCCGAGGCCTCTGTGCTGCTGGCTTCTTACGCCGTCCAGGCCAAGGTAGGCGCAAAGAAGAAAAATGCATTCTTCCTGGGCATTAACTTGTATCCTGGGATCACTCTAGTTGTCTGCTTCTTTGGGTTTTCTAGACTCCATAAAGATTTTCCCCAGAAAGCAGGTTGCTCTGGGGCTTGCGGAGTTGGGGATACGCTGGCACTGTTCCAGCTTCTGTGCGGTCTTGTGAGCGAGTGTGTGGGTACCAATGATAAGTGTACAGCTTGACGAATTTCCTGTATAATCTCATTATACCCTTGTGGTTAATTACATTCACTGGATTAACCTCTCTTTATTAACCAGAAAAAATGAGCTTATGATCTCCAGCATTGGCCAATGAAGGCCTTGAGATCTTTATTCCAAACTTAGCTTCCAAGAACCTGTAGCCTGTGTGTGTTGGGGGAGGATCTCGCCGCACCCCGGAGAGATCTGCACTTCATTTGCCCCTGATGAGCATGCCAGCTGAGCTTACAGCTGGGTATCGCGGATTTTTAAAAATTTATTAATTAATTAAATTTTTTTTCTTCCATCATTGTAGTCCCCATAGTTCTCCTGCCACCTGTCACCCGCGAGCCATCACCATGTCCCCTCCTGTCCCTCCCTCCCCTATTTTGCTCTCTCCCGGGCCCTGCTTTGCTGTGAGCCTCAGTTCTGTGCTCAGCTTGCTAGGTTTGACTTTTTCTTGACTATGTTTGGTTTCTCTCTGTTCCACATATCAGTGAGACCATCCAGAATTTATCTTTTTTCCTTCTGACTAATTTCAGCTAGCATCATTCCTTCCATTGCCATCCACGCTGGGCCCCGTGGGTTCTTTGGCGCACTGAGCTCAGCTGAGCTGTCTGGTTGGCCTAGAGTTACTCAGAGACGTCACTGTGGGTTTAGGAGTGGTCACTCCTAGGGAGGCCACTGGTCTTGTGTTTTTGTCTTCTCTTTTTATTAGCCATCTCTTTGTTATAAGACCAGTTACAGAGTCAGCCTCGGTGCTCCATATGCCACCTTCTCTTGGTCCCCAGAACTGGAACACCTCAGTGACTTTTGCAATTTCTAAGCATAATCTTTTCAGTTACTACTTTCCTTTTTAGTTTAGTTTCTCCCCAGCTTGTGTCCACTGAGTCATTCCCCGTAATATTACAAAAATTAATAAGACACACTTGCCTTCTTAAACCACTTTTTTGGGCAGCTTAATACACTTTCAGATTAAAGCCAGGAAGTAACTGGCCTGTCGTTTTTGTTTTTTTTTTGAGGGGGTGGGTGTCTGTACATGATAGTTAGACAAATAGGAGCTCCAGAGTCAGTTTAATCATTTGATAGCTTGTCTGATATTTGCTAACAATTCACCAGGCCCGAGGAGAGGTTGTTGATTGTGCCACACTTAGTTACCAAAGTGAATATCTCCCCTCAGACCCCCCTCATCGATAACTGTAGTTAATATAGGCCTGGGTAGAAGTCTTAACAAGCTCACTTCAAATTCAGCTGTGACCGCTAGACTCCACTTGGTACTCTCAAGTGCCCCCCAGTCTCTTCATCCAGAGATGACAGCAAAGCAAGATGCCACAGATTAGAAACAGAAATAAATAACACAACAAAGAATAGAGTAAGAAGCGAAACTCCCTCCATGCCAGAATTTGGGGTTTTCTCAAAGAGATTACTCCCTTTGGTGATTACCCAAGGTCACTCTGGCTATATGGGGTAAAGTTCAGGGCAGAATTCATGGCTTGCATTTGTGCGGCCTCTCTTCTGCTACCCTGAAAACTGAGTAATCGAGAAAGCAGAAAATAGGCCTCGCTTCAATGGAAACATTTGCTTCCTTTTATGCCTTGATTAACAATATTAATAACAAGAAAAATGTGTCCTTTCAACTGGTATTGTCCTGACAGTGCTGAAGCAGTCATTGTCACTTCCTTAAATGCAAGTATTTCCTCGCCCAGGCTGGAATTCCAATTTAGCACATTTTCTCCCCAGCTGAGAGGAGACCAGTCTCTCAAGGACACTACTTCCCTTTGAAGGGCTTCTGTTGCAAAGGCTAGTTTTCTTTGTATGGCTTTTGGGCTACAATTCAAAGACCACCTGTGGAAAAACTTTTCAGGGAACCAGCAGATGTTTGCTTAAACAGATTTCACTGTAGGAAAGCCCTACTAATTTAGATCCTACTAATTTAGAGATGAAAGTGATTCACAGACAGCATATGTGGTTCATATGGAGGGGAGGATACTCTTTTTTTTTTTCTCTTTCTCAGTGTTAAGTTCTCAGAATCTTACAAACAAAGGTAATCAATGGCTTTAAGTCTGTTTTGGGGGAAATTTTAGGATTATTAAAACATGCTTCTGGTGTCCAGGGCTGTGATTAATATTCATAGGTAACTCTGACTATGCTATTAATAAGATCTTACTCTTTTACAGTTTCACAAAATACTTTAAGGTAAATGTATCGTGTGAGACTTGGTGTGTGTGGTCTTTTTCATTAGTCAAGGCTTGAGAGTATTCTGCCCTTTTGGCCCATGAAGAATTTAAGTACCAGAAATGATGAATAATTTGTCTAAGGTCAAAAAACCTTGCTAATTCTTTTTAAAATGGTGTTTGCAGCTCCCTCCTCTGAAACAGAAGGGGACTAGAGAGTGGAGAGAATGGGAACCAGGTGCCTTACTCAGCACACTGCACTGGGGGGGTGGGGAGGGCCCTCTGGGAGCACCTGCTGCCTTTGAGTAAGCTCCACATTCATTTACATGGTCACATTTGTCCAGACTTCTGAATCATACTCCTTCCTTCATTATATCTAGTTTGTTTTCTTCCGCAACTTATCTGAAACAAAAAGGAACTTCAGAAGCATGGGGGAGAAAGTGAATCGAGTTAATTAACACATGGGATATAATTATGTACAAATGTATTCATTACAGTACTTTAGCTGTTCCATTGATATAGACCAGTTAATTCCAAGCATAAAGAAACAATTACCTTCAAAGTATAAATACAAATATTAATCACATGGTTCAGTAAACAAGAATCATATTTTTTGGTTGGAGTCTGAGTTATGTTTGAATCAAAAGTATGGGCTGGGTTTTTTTGGTTTAGTTGCATGACACACCAAACCATCTTGCAACATTTTAAACCACCTGTGGGACTTTATTCTGACTTCTTTTTCTGGGGGGTGGTTGAAATGTGTTCTTATTAAAAATGACTTTGAGAGAGGATGGTATATAATTCATCATTCTAGTCGTACTTCTGGTGTTCATAGAGATAAAAAAAAAATGGTTGGAGGGCCTCCCTGGTGTTGCAAGGGGTTAAGTCTCAGCACTATGAAGCTATCCACAGTCACTGGAGCACAAGTTTAATCCCCAGCCAGGGAGCTGACCCACATGGCACAGCAGACTTCTCCTGTCTCGCCCGCAGCTCCCCTCAGCAGTGTATTTCAGTGCATCTGCCTGTGCTGCTCCCCACTCTGTCTCTGGTAAATTGTCTTATCCCCTGCATCTCTAGTCAGTACTCCAGTTCTTTTTTTTTTTTTTTAAATTTTATAATAATTAAATTTTACATATTTTTGTGTATTTTTCTATCTCAGTTGCAATCCCCTGTGTACTCCAGTTCTTATATGCATAAAGAAAAAAAAATTTTTTAAAGCTGCCATAGTGAACCTCCCCCCAGGGTCTCTCACCCACATCTGTTTCACACGTCTCTGCGCCCCATATCTCTTCCAGGTCTCCTTCTTGCTCTCCATCCTGCTTCTTTCTTTCTTCAGTCTCCTCTCCAGCTTCTCCTCGCTACTCAGCTCTACCCTCACTTGGGTGGGGCAGGGCACCTGGAACCTCCTCTTTTCCTGGGGACCACCCTATTACAGAAGGACATTGACTTGAAACATCTAGGTTATAATAGTTAACAGAAATGTATATCCTTTTTAAATTGCTTTTCCCCCCATTGATTTTGAGATGTATTTATGTTATATGTGTCAGTGTGGCTTTTGACTTTAACAGCTGTTGATGAATAAACTTAGTTTACTTATCCATCCCCCTTCTGAGGAATAAGTAGGTTGTTTCTATTTTATTTTTCCTGTTATAAACAGTGCTTTACTGAAAATGCTTTTCTACGATTCCTTGCGTCTATGTGAAAAAGCTTTTCCCCCTAAGTTAGATTTCTAGAAGTAGAATTGCAGATCCATCTCTGAGTATAAAGGACTTTTAAGTTTATATGGAAAAGACAGCAGATAAGTGATGCAAAGGTATGTACAACAAGGGACTTTGTAGAACAGACAATGAGAATCGTTGGTAAATACAAAAAAAATGTTTAATATCTTTAGTAAGCAAGTGAAAGAAAAATGAAAGCCACAATAAATTAATAGTTCAAAGTCAGAACATGGGCAGGGGACTAATGACTTGAATGGATGTGTTGTTTGAGCTCATTTACTTGCTCAAACCTCGCCAGGGCAATGTATGTGGCTAGGTGAGGGCCCCCCACCCCCGCCAAATTCACGTTCACCTGGCTACTGTAGGGAAGTCCTACACCCCACCCATTTCACTTGAAACTGTCAAAACAGATAGACCCACCTCACATTTTTCACATTTTCAGGGACTGGGTCATTCAAATATAACTGTATTTGTACATAGGTGTATTTTTTTCTTTCTATTATTAAATGAATCTAGTGACTATCCTTGAAGATGCGTCTTTGGGCATATGTGAGCAAGATTTCTCTGTGATGATAGACACTGAGAAATGGCATAATTGAGTTGAAGGATAAGAGCGTTTAAAATTTAAATAACACTCAGTGAAAGAAACCAGACACAAAAGGCTCCATTTATGTGAAATGTCCAGAATAAGCACATCCATAGAGACAGAAAGTAGATTTAGGTTGCTAGGCACTTGGGAGGAGGAGAAGGAAGTTAGGAGTTACTGGGTAGTGGGCATGGTGTTTCTTTAGGGTGATGGAAACCTTCTAGAATTAATGATGATTGCACAAAATTCTGAATATACTAAAAACCAGTTAATTAAATGCTTACAGTGGTGAATTTTATATTTGTAAATTTTAATTAACTTTAAAAATAGCATGAGAATCCCTGTTTTTTCATATTCTCATCAACAGAGGATGCTGTCAGTCTTTAAAATGTTTGCTAATCTTGGCCCTCCCTGGTGGCGCAGTGGGCTAAAGCACAGCACTGCAAGTGAGCCCCAGATGCTTCAGTGTGAGTTCGATCCCTGGCCCTGGAGGCGACCACATGGCACAGCAGACCTCTCCTGACCCGCCCGCTGCTCCCCTCAGCAGTGTATTTCATCGATCTGCCTGTTCTGATCCCCATCTGTCTCTGGTGAATCCTCTCACCACCCCTGCGCCTCTGGCCTGTACCCCAGTTCTGTATGTATAAATAAATAAAATCTTTTTTAAAAAATGAATTGACTTAAAAAAAAAGAAAAAAATGTTTGCTAATCTTGGGGGAAGGTTAAGAGCAAACAGAAGGAAGCACAATGGGCTATAGTGATAGATTAAGGGTGATGTGGTGGTTGGTGCACTGAGGGGTCGATACCTCATGGGGAGGATCCTTATGTTACTAGGTGGGGTGAGGGGCACCTGGGACCCCCAAACCTATCTCACTTTAAGTAGGTTCTGCCATCCATCACATTAAGACAAAACATACTCTAGTGTATAAGATCTTTCATGGAGAAGAACTAAAATACAAGTAGTGTGCAATAAAGAGAAGGGAAAGATAGTTTCCACATGAAACACCCAGTTATCCATCCCCTGTGGGTAAATGCCCAGCCATATAGGGTTGGCTCAAAGCAGGGCCACGAGGCCTGAAAGCTGCCACATGTCTCAGGCACCTTTTGGTGGGGACCCACAGGAAAGGGGCACTCCAGGAATGGAAGGAACAAAATCAAAATCGAGATAAAAACTGCCGTTGTCAACCTCCCCACGGCTCTCCACCCATGTCTGTTTCAAGTGTCGCCTCTGTGTGCCCCAAGTCCCTGGTACAGTCCAAAGTCAAGAAGCAGTGCAGCTTCTTCTCATCTCTGCTCCCCGCGCCCCCTCCAGATCTCCTCCTTGCTCTCCATCTTCCTTCCTTCCTTCCCCAGGCTCCTCTCCAGCTTCTCCTCCTCCCTGCATGTTCCATATATTTTTTAAAGATTTATTTATTTATGCATACAAGAACTGGGTACAGGCTAAAGGTGGGGGGGCAGTGAGAGGATTCACCAGTGGATCTTCTGAAACACACTGCTGAGGGGAACAGTGGGTGAGACAGGAGAGGTCTGCCACACCATGCGGGGCAGCTCCCTGGCTGGGGATCGAACTCATAGCTTTATAGTGCTGCACTTTAACACATCATGCCACCGGTGAGGGCCCTTGGCTTACGTCTTTGATCCATCTGGAATTTAATGACGGGGGTGGGTTAGGTAATCTAGTTACTCTGTGTATGTCTTGATCGAGCCCTTTTGTTTCATGAAATCCTGTTCAGAGCATTCGATCTAATATGCCTATATATAGGCAGAGTATTTACTATCTAGAAGGAGTTTCTATTTATACTAAAAATTTGACTATACGTCAAAGTTCTACCTTGAATTTAAAATTAGTTTGTCTATATCAGGGATGGATCCAGGTTTTGGGGGCCTAAAATTTATGTAACTTAGGGTTTACTTTTTAATATAAGAATACTAAATTATGAATATAAAATTAAGGACAGGCCCTTACAGGTGCTGCAGGCTAAAATCCAAAAATCATTAATATATATCTTCACAGTAAATTTACTCCTGGCTCTATTCTCAGAATGCATCTCTACATAAAAGGGTGAGGAACAGGGGGCCTCCCTGGTGGTACAAGGGGTTAAGATATAGCACACTGAAGTTAGCACCAGCCACTGCAGCACGAGTTCAATCCCTGGCCAGGGAGCTGACCCACACGGTGCAGCAGACCTCTCCTGTCTGCCTGCTGCTCCTGCTCCCATGTTCTGCTCCCCACTCTATCTCTGGTGAATCCTCTCACCCCTCCCCCCAAGCCTCTGGCCTGTTCTTGTATGCATAAACAAATAAATATTTTAAAAAAGAAATCTTTTTTTTAAAGAGTGAAGACAGCTATCTCCACTTATGGAGTTGTATGACTTTCTTTGATATTCACCCAACTGTCTACCTTAGAGTTTATTTTTTTCTTCCTTTTTTCTCTTGTTCCTTTTAAGAGACATTTAGGAGCAGTCACAGACATCAAGGTGGCTTTAATGTAGTAAGTGGAGTCAGTCCTGTGGAGAAGTTCTTTGCAGGGTCTTTGCTGCCTATGCATTTCTCAGACAGAAAGTATTTGATCAGTGGAGTAGCTGGGAGCTTAGTAAGATAATGTGGATCCTAAATCTTCCCAAGCCTTTGGAGTTTGAATTTACAACTTTAACTTTGCATATCTGCTTGCTTCTGCATTAGACTAGGTCAGCACAGCTGAGAGACTTGCAAATCCAACTAATAGGGCAAAAATCAAAGATGCAAACAGGAACCAGTGGTTATAAATAATGCAGAAAATAACAGTAACACTTGACCTTCACTGTGAAGCAGGTTTATGCAAAATGCTCACCTGGATTGTCTTACTTCCTTCTGGCCTGCCCTAGTGAGACAGGTGATCCTCATTAAGGATTCTGGTTTTCCAGGTGAGAAAGCTGAGGTTTAGAGAGAAGATGCCTTACTGAGGGCCTTCAGCAATACTCCACAATCCCCCCTTTGAAGTTTTCTAAGGCTAATGCTCTCATTTGACAGATAAGAAAACAGATTCAAAGGTGACAGTCTTGAACTTTTACCTTTTGATGTCAGATATTGAATGCTATGTTTCAAGCATGGTTTAAAATTATTATGGGTATTATTTAATCTCTATAAGAGTTCTCTAAGATACTGTTATTATCCCCATTTTCCAATGAGATAGCTGAGGTACGAATTTCCAAGGTCACAGCTAATAAGTGACAGAGCTGAGATTGAAGCTTAAGCAGCTGCCTCCCAAGAGGCTTCACCACTTAGGCTTACACAGTGGCTGATTTATTGCGTTCCTGGGCCTCTCAGAGATTGCAAGAAAGCGGGTTCCTTTAGGTTTTTTAAATGAAGAAATGTCTAGACGGAGTTACAAAAACTGGCAGATTTTTAATATTTAGTTTGAAAAATTAATTCTTTTAACACTCAAAAAGCAATGCAATACAATTCTGATATTCACAAGATAATGATGAGACTCATAAGAACTATTAATTCACGAGGCTTTCGTAATGGAGTGGTGCGAGAGTACAGCATGTAAAGTTGCTGATGAACATCTCCTTTCAGCCTCGCAGTATCTATTGTTAGGTTTACAGCTTCATTTGGGAAACCACAAGTAACTTGAGGATCTTTGGGAATGAGAAGGGGGGCTATATCCTGGCCCAGTTTGATGGTTTGTAGAACTGACAGTTGGTGCTGGTCTTTCTTTTGTTTTTTCAATTTGATGGCTATAAGGGTAAATGTTCATAGGAGCTTAAACTGAGGTACAGTACTTGTTTTGAGTTTCCTTGTTTTGGTCAAAAGAAAAGTCACTAGATGCTGATTGATAAAAAGATAGACTCTTTGATTTTAAATTCTACTAGATGTTTTTTGTGTCTTTTTTTTTTTGAGAATGAGGAGTTGCTTCCATCTTACCTAGTTCTTTTTATTTTTTCTTTTAAGATTTATTGATTTATGCATACAGAACTAGGGTACAGGCCAGAGGTACAGGGACGGTGAGAGGATTCACCAGAGATAGAGTGGAGAACAGAACAGGCAGATCGATGAAGCACACTGTTGAGGGGAGCAGCGGGCGAGTGAGACGCGTCCCTGCGCTATGTGGGTCAGCTCCTTGGCATGGGATCGAACTCATGCTGAAGCAGCTGCCACTAGCTTCTCAGTGCTGAGCTTTGACCTATTGTGCCACTGGGGAGGGCCATCTACTAGATGTTTTATGATTGGTTTCTTTTTAAAATTCTATGATTTTTTTATTATTTCCTTTTCAGACTTACGTTTTCTAGGAAAGAAAGAGATGTTTCTTAGATCAGAAAATAAATATCCAAGTCATTATCCCTGATTGAATGTATCAAAATGCAGGACCCACTTCCAGTCTCACTAGTGACTTGTTCTGCAGTTTTAGGAAAATCTTTTCCACGTTTCTTTGTACAGAGAGGAATGACAACATTGGTGTCAGATTTTTTCCCCAAGGCATTTTTCAGAGCCTTGAGTGAAAGGCATTAAAAATATTGCCTGCATTATTCTCATCTCCCACCTAGCAGTCGGTTCCAATTACCAGACACTTAGAAGCATTTGTAGGTAAGACTCTTATCACACGGATGCTAATCACAACTTTCACTGTTGTGTTTTGTTGTTTCATTTCAAAAGCTGATGTTTTGGTACTAACTGCTTTCTTTGTGGGTTAGAAAACAGCCACATTTCTATCTATACAAATGTCACATTCTTATTAGCACGTCACCTGTCCATCCCTTATGGGATTATGCAACGCTGTTCATAGATATAATCAGCTTTGTATTTTCATTCAAGGATAACAAACTAGCAAGGTTGAAATCTCGACTTGTCATCAGAATTGAATTGCTCCCCGGAGCTGGGAGGGAATGAGACTGATTTGAGCCCCGTTCCAAGTGGTGGCTGTCCTTAGAATTTTAATCGCCTTGCTCTCCCCTCTTCTTCCAGTATGGTGACTACGACCCTTCTGTTCACAAGCGGGGATTTTTGGGCCAAGAAGAACTGCTTCCCAAAAGGGTAAGAAGAAAAAAATCCCCTCTTCGGGAAGACGTGGCAGTTATGTGCTCTGCAAGAAAACTAACTGAAGGTCTTGAAAGAATGTCGGGAATACATGGCAAGAACATTCAAAAACATATGTCCTAGTCATTCCTGAGTAAAAGGTGTGCAGTCAGTGTTGAGGATACTAAGAAGCAAAGGTTCGTGGAGTTAGTTTGGGGTTGTCCTCACCGCCAGCTTGCGAAAGGTCCCCAGCGTGGCTGCGCCATGAGGTGGGTGAGCGGCAGTGGTTCCCCGCATGTGTGTCGCGTGAGGTTGGCCCGGCCGAGTGAGCCGTGAGCAGCTGCTCCAGGTGACAGAGGAGAGGGCTTCCGGCCGGGTTGGAGTTTCAGTCCTCGGTGTAGTTTAGCTCGTTCTTTAGCCAAGAAGGAGGTCTTCCCTCCTTTGGCTGTTTCTGGATTACATCTGTCGCGCAGGGAACCTTACCTTTCCCCCTTGGGGGACTTCTGCGCAGACGGCCGCTAGGTGCGCTGCGGCTTAGCGCACGCTGCTCCCTGGAACCACTGCCTGGGAAGGGGTCCCCCAGCCGCGAGGGTGCACCGAGGCCTGCTAAGTGTCGCAGCTGCTGGAGTTGTGACTCAAATTGAATGGTGCTTGTTTACACGCCCACGCTGTGTGACAGCTCCCTGTATGTGGCTTTTTAAAAATAGCTTTGCTG